CGAAAAAAACCAAAAAAAAAAAAAAAAAAAAAAAAAACACTAGGACTCCGAAGATTTAATTGACTTGTAAAGTAAAAATGGCACATACAGACGATTCCTTATTTCATATCCCAGAGATCTGACTTCAAATTGGCCATGTCTAATACCTTTCTATTCGTAACAGGGACACTTGAACGTTGAGCTACTGTGGGTACAAAGAATGTTTTGGGCTTTGGAAACCCAGTCTTGGCTTAGAAGTCGCAGGGCAGTGTTGGTCTGGATGCAGGAGTACTTGAAACGAGTAAATTTTTTTTGTATTGTTTTTTTTGTATTGCTTTTTCGAGACAGGGTTTCTCTATATAACAGTCCTGGAACTCACTCTGTATACTTAAGAGATCCGCCTCCCTCTGCCTCCAGTGTGTTGGGATAAAAGGCGTGCACCACCGATGCTTGGCCGAGAGGAATAACTTTTTTGTTTTGTCTTTATATTTTTATTTTTGAGACAGGGTTTCTCTATAGCTTTGGAGCCTGTCCTGGAACTAGCTATTGTAGACCAGGTTGGCTTTGAACTCAACGAGATCAGCCTGCCTCTGCCTTCTGAGTGCTGGGATTAATGGTGTGAGCCACCACGGCCAGACACCGAGATGAGTAACTTTTTAAAAGCAACTCTGGGAATACCTGAACATCACTTTTAACTTGTCTTCAAATGTCTTTATTCCAAAAGAAAAGAAAGCTGCTTCCAGATGCTATTTTACAACAACTAACTAAAGCTTCAGAGGCTGAGTAAGTAATAGGCTTTTACTTCTGTAAGGCAATCTTTGTATAACTGAAGAGATTTGTCCAAACTTAAAAGCTACAGAGTGGTTTTGGAGTTCCCAATCCCAGACCTACAAGTAAAGGTCATTGTCCAGCACTTGTCCTGGGGCAGAATCGGAGGTCAAGATCAAGTGACTTTTTCTATTTGGTGGTCCAGCGGGCACTTAACCACAAACTCCTAAAATCCAAACTTTTCTCAGGCTGGTTTAACTGCCGCCACCCTTCCTCATCCCCATTTCATTTAGCAGCTTTGCCCCGCGGTCTGTGCTTAAACCCAAAGCTTGAGCTACGGCTGTCTTTATTTCCATCACATTTAAGCTCTATTGAGTTTACTCCTCTACTTCTTGGCACTCTTTGGTACATTCTTTGGTTTTTCTAGATATGGTTTCTCTGTGTAGCTCTGTCCTGTAACCCCATCTGTAGACCAGGCAAGCTGTCCTCAAACTCAGATTTGTCTGCCTCTGCATCTTGGTTCTGGGATTAAATGCAACACCACACCTGGTCTTAGTGTACACTCTGAAATATTTTTTAAACAGAATGGTTGGTTATTTTTCCTATTATTTTGAATTCCATGAGGCATGTAAGCAGATGTTTGGTGAAACTCTTGTCTTATATAACCAAGTGTCACCCTCCCTCATCACTTTCTCCTGTGTGATCAGTACAGTTGCTTCTATAATTTATTTCTGAGGCAGTTTTGCCATTTGATAGTTGTCTGGAGCTTGCCTTTTGTCTCCAGTGTCCAAACTGTTGAATGAGCTGTGATTTCTCATTACTAAGTACCACTTGGTACTGGAGTGCTAACTGCTAAGTTGTGTTTCAGAATCTTGAACAAACTTTTGGATGCCCACTAAGTGCTCAGATTTGAATTCTGAGAAGTCATTCTATGCTAGTGTGGTTACTGAGCTGGTGGCAGTGCTGTGCGGCATGAGTGAAAATTAAGGGTAATGGTTATGAAAGCCGGAAGGGGATCTTATGTGTTGTTTTGAGTATTCTTACTGCCTGCCATTCTGAGCTTTTGTTGTTCTTTTCTTTCCACAGCCTAAAGAAATCACCAGGAAACGTAAAAGGTATGAATTGTTCTCATTTAAGTAACTGCATGTAAGGGTGAGGAATTGCAGGTATTCTTGGCTGCTTGTGGCCCTTAGGCCTGCCCAAAGTTGGCTTCAGACCATTCCCCATTTTTTTCTTCCAAATAAAACCTGCACTCAACATGATACATGAGTCACCGAAGTGCATGCCATGGAGTGTTAGTTTATATACTATTAATAAAGTGGATCTTAATTTTTCAGTTAATTTGAAAAAGAGAGGTGAACATACTGCAAAAGAAAGAAACTCCAAGAAAGTTAAAATACAGAAAGTACAGTCTGACAGGTAATGAGTTTTATTCTGTTTTCCCAGTGGGATGTAAAGTTTCCTTTTAAAAGCTTATGAGAAGAAAGTAGTAGTGTATCAGATTGGGTTGTTTATAGAAAAATATTACTTGCTGCCTTAAAATATGTTAATGCATTTTCTTTTCTTATAAAATAGCATGTGATTTATCTGTATTGTGTAACTCATACAATTCTTTAAATACAGTTGATAAGCAAGAACAAAATGACTATTTCAAAGTGAAGTCATGTAGGGGCTGGGAATCCTAGAGTAGAGTCCCTGCCTGGCATCTGTGAGGCCCTGACAATCCTCTCTCCCTACCCCCAAGTAAAAAGTTGGGTTAAGGATGTAGCTGAATGGTAGTGTTTGTTTAGTGAGACACCTTGGATTGACCCCAGTACTATACGTGTGTACGTACATATGTATGTATATACACCTGTGCGTGCAAACACACACAAACCCACAATTACATAGAATGAGTATGTACCTTCTAATTCATTTTGACCTTTTGTATTTTCACCAGTCAGACTAAAAGCTACTTGGCTGTAAGGCTAAAAGATCAAGATCTGAGAGATTCAAGGCAAGAAGCAGCCAAACACTTTATTCACAATTGTTTGTATGGTTCAGAATCCAAGAGGACTACTGGTAATTTTTTTTTTTTTACTTTTTATTTATTTATTTTAGCTCTTGTAGACCTGGCTAGCCTCGAATTCACAGAGATCTGCCTCCCTAATGCTGGGATTTAAGGTGTGTGCCACACCGCCTGGCTGGTAATTTTCTTATAGTCTCTGTCTGATTGGCTCTCACGATGACAAAGAAATGATTAACTGATTCTCCCCTTTAGTGAACAAGTTCCTGTCTCTGAACAACAAGAGGCTACCAGTGAAAAGAGCTGCAGCCCAGTTTCTCAACGGCACATGGGGTAAGTTGGAATGTCTTCTCTTGACTCTAATTATTTTACAAAGGAAATGTTTTTGGAAAGAGATGGGTCATTATAAACTAAATAAACCTACTTTTATAGTGTATTTTTGTAAACTACACTCAAAAATCTGAATTTTATGTTTCTCAGGGTTTTAAAACTAATACTTAACTGAATATTCCTCTTGTTCTCTTGTAGGTGCCAAGAAACAACAAAATGCCAAGAGGTTTAAAAAACGCTGGATGGCCAAAAAGATGAAAAAGAAAAGTTATAAGTGAAATGAAATAAAGCTAAATGATGATTTATATGTATAGAATTTAAGGTTATTTGGTATCGAAAACACTGATTTTTCAAAATCTAGTCATTCATAAATCATTGTAAAGGATCATTAAGAAAAAAGCCATAAACCTTTTTGTCTGGGAAAGCAGCTGGCTACATTTCTTTCTAGAATACCTTTGATCATCTTGGAGGGAAAAGCAGTTTAAAAAAGGCATTTTCATCCTTGTGGGCGCAAGAAGAGGGATAAAAGACCGTCCACCCGGGCGGTGGTGGCGCACACCTTTAATCCTAGCACTCGGGAGGCAGAGGCAGGCGGATGTCTATGAGTTCGAGGCCAGCCTGGTCTAGAAGAGCTAGTTCCAGGACAGGAACCCTGTCTCGAAAATCCAAAAAAAAAGGGCTGGAGAGATGGCTCAGCGGTTAAGAACATTGCCTGCTCTTCCAAAGGTCCTGAGTTCAATTCCCAGCAACCACACGGTGGCTCACAACCATCTGTAATGGGGTCTGGTGCCCTCTTCTGGCCTGCAGGCATACACACAGAATATTGTATACATAATAAATAAATAAATATTTAAAAAAGAAAAAGAAAGAGACTGTCCATGGAGTCTTCAGTACAGCTGAAAAGCTAACTCTAGTGTTGTTGTAGATGTGGTTTCTCATTGTTAAAAAGCATAGTGGGGGAGTGGATAATCCCAAGAGTAGGAAAATAAAATATGTGTTGGGGCTTAAACTTCAGCCAGCACCTTTGTCTAGCAATGGAGTAAATCTAAAGTAAGTGGGGTTTTTTGTTGTTGTTGTTCTGTTGTTCTTTAAAAAGATGTGTGTGTGCACACATGCATGGTGTGTCAGAGAACAATTTATTTCTGTCTCCTACCATGTGGGTTCCAAAAGTTGAATTCAAGTCACCAGATGTGGTAGCAAGTACTGCTGAGCCATCTTGCCAGCCCTGGAACAGCTTTTCAAATTTTAATTAGTTTGGGGGTTTGCTTGGTTGATAGTTACAGTACTCGTTAAATTCCTGTTTTTCTTTGCACACACAGTATCAGGTTTGACTAGTGCAATCACCTGAAGGCAATTTTAGACTGTTAACTTGGGCTGATAGGAAGAATCATTACTATAAATTGCTCTAAAAAGTATATGAGAACCTAATACATAAATTCAACTGACACTAATATCTGTAGAAGTAAATTTTTAATGGCTGGTTAATTATATCACTACATTTTTATTGCAATATAGTACTCATTTAAGCACTTAAAAATGGAAGGTGTACAAAGATTAAATTAAGACACGGTAAATTGACTAAATATTTGGTTTTTATATAAATAAAGGTCATAACCACACTGTTGACATGTAATACTGTTATAATACAACAGTTAAACTTGTGAGTCTACAACAGAAGTCATCTGTAGTTAAACAGGAAACAAAGTTGAAAAAGACCATGTTAAAACAAAATTACTGGGACTAACAGGTCGGGATTGTAAGTAGCAACAAACATACTCACTCAGCTCCTGAGTATTTCAAGTTTTACAGTACACATTAAAAATGATTTCTTCCATCAACACTATTAAATTCAAACTGTCGGATGTTTATGCATTTTGCAAGTTACACTGATTGAATGCTTACACAGGAGCGGGGGTCGGAACAGCTCCCAATTTGTAGTTTACATCACCCACATGCTAACACAAACACAACTTGTTCCATTTCCTCCCCCTTCTCCCCCCAACAAAGAAGGCAGGATTTTTGGTTTCTTTTAGGTAATTGTTTTTAAAGGATTTCTGATGATCAATTTGAACGTCTGAAATTCAGTAATATTTAACTCTTAGACAACTAAGAGGTTAAAAGATGGAAAATATTTTCTCCTAACACTAAGTTAGAAAATCATTTGCATCATGCTGTAAACTAGGAAGCAATGTAAAGCGACAAAAACCTGTCCCCAGTACATAATTAAAAAAATCTAAATTTCAAATCAGCAGAGCCGGTCTACTTCCATGTTGACTATTTGCCACAATGTAAGTGTGAGCTCCTGAAGTGCATAGCTAATGTAGGTAGTCTTCCACTGTGGCAAATGCACAGGATCCAATTCCTGATCGAGCCATCAGTCCTAGACATTGTGTGGCCTGTCCCATTGCTAGGGCAAGTGGAGGTTGCTTTGGCAGATTGTGGGTTTCTAAGGAAAAAAAGGATTAAAATATGAAAATAGCAATTAACAAACCATTTTAAAAACCATCTTTCAATCAGGGAAATACAACATTTGCTACATCAGTGCCTGTGAGGATCTCAACTACCTGATGACAAGACAGAATGATATTCCTAAGAAAAGTTCTTGCAGAACTAAGATTTTTTTTTTTATTTTTAAATAAATGGTCTCACTTCATATTCCTCTCTGGCCTCAAATTCAGAAACCTGCCTGCCTCTGCCTGATGCTGGAATCAAAGTTGTGTACCACCACACTGGCCAGAACTAGATTTTTAAAGTATATACTCAACTTTTTCATTCTCTTTAACCGTGATAGAAAAGATAAAACCTAGCTGACATTTTGGGCTAAAATAAGGAAAATCTACTACCTATCTACTTAGCCAAGGTCAGCTAACATTAGCAAGAGAAGGCAGTTCCACATTTTTATTTAGTTTCCAAAGTCCAGAGAGGGCTGCAGAGCTACCTCTAAGGCACACTGGCAAATGTTATTCACAAGCAAGTGAACGGCTGTCAAAATATAGAGCAAAGTCACCCTAGAATTGAAGAGGTTAACTTTTAATCATTAGTTCTGATGTTTTAATAAGTAGAATATTTCTTGGATGCTACATAATAACCTTCAAACAGGTGTATTTTGTTGTTGTTGTTTTGTTTTTGAGTTAGGGACTCACTATGTAGACCAGTCTGGTCTGAATCTCAGGAGATCTGCCTGCCTCTTCCTCCTTATTAAAAATGCAGTAAAATTCTGATGCACCAAAGATGAAGTGAACTAAGGGTGACAGAACCCACCCATAAGCTAGTAATTCTCTCTGGAGATAGTGTCCAGATCAATTAGGGAAACTAACCGCAAAGCCATGATAGTGGCTGTCAAATTCTGATTACCTGCAGCCTCAGTTTAGAGTTTGCAAGACAGTACAAAACAAAAAAAAAAACCAACAAAACTGAATGAACCATAAAAACCACAGAAAAGCAAGGTAAGGGTTTAATATACAAGGGACAAATAAGTCGTGAATAAAAGCATGGAGCAGGTTGAAAAGAAAGGAATGGTTTAATAAGTGATCTGAGGGTTAAGATTATTGAAATATTTATTGATATATACAAAGGAAAAAATGATTACTATTTTTAAAACCTAAGGAAGGTTCAAGTGAGCACCAGGTTCATGATTGTACTTTGATCAAAGGAGGCCTCTGGTTTTAAGGATCTTTAAGCTTTTAAGATATATAAAATACATAGTTAATACATTATGCATTACATATAGGTCTGCCCATTAGTAACACAAAAGATACAGTCATCCACAAGATTGTTTAAACTTATCATTTTTAATGCAAGCATTATTTGTAGCTTTCCCATGCCCAGAGTCTCACTGTGGTCCTGTCTGGACTGAAAGTCTTATGTAAAACAGGCTAGTTTCAAGCCTCCAGACCCAGCCTAACACTTGTATCTTGGATAATGTTCCTAAGCATTTGATTTGAAGAACTCAAGAAGTTAAATACTGCCACAAGAAAATTGGCAATCGGATGTTTGTAACTACCTGCAATGTAGTAGTTTCAAAACGACAATTATAGTAAGCCACCATTCCTTTCATGCACTGTTACTAGATTCTTTTACTTTTTCAAGAGTTGATCTTATATGGCCACTGAAAATACAACAACACAAACCAAATTCATATTATTCTACACACAAACACTAATTTAAGAAGCTAACACACAAAGGCCACTATTCTTATTCCCAAATGGCAGTGTTGACCCATATCAAACTTAGGATAAGTATGAGCATTCATGGCTTCCTTTACATTCTTGCAATGAATATTAATTAGCCTTCAATACAAGTACCGATGTCCCGTGCTGTCTGTCACCTTTTAAAAACTGAAACACATGACTAAAAATCTTCTAAATTTCACCAGGCCAAGTAAGAGTACAAACTTCAAAACTGGAATGAAGTCTCACTGGAGAAGAGTCTAAAGTCAGATGTAAAATAAACCTTATCTAAATTGCCTTTGATGAAAACAGCTCAGAAATTAAGCTTTATGTGCAGAGTAACTTGGTAACATTTTCATGGGAGTACAACTACAGAATCTGCATAAAAGTATTGGTTCAGTATGTAATTACTATCACAACTGCAGTGACATATTGATAGGAACAGAAACTTACCAAACAATAGCTTCCCATACACACTGATAAAGCCTCTCCACCTAAGTGACTGGTTAATCTGAATGCAAATGTTTGAGTCCAGGGGTTGGTACTGCTTATATCTTAAGACAGAAGCTATGATGTGGAGAACTCAGGTTACCCTCATTCCTTCTTTAAATACCCCGAATCAAAAAGAGCAGAATGCAGTATTCAGGGTGGTACCAGCTCTGACTCCTGAGTACTCAATTCAATTAACACCCTTCTAGTCTCACTTTCCTGTAGACCAACTATCAGAATTCTTTATAAAATGCCCAAATTCCTTCCCCAGCAGTCAAATCAAGTTTTGATCAGCCCATTAAACACAGCTACTGAGATACGAAGGTTCTGTACTTTCCTATATTATCAATATAAAGCCACCTTTTTCACCTGGGTCAGTCAAAATCACATATTTTCTACAACTTCAAATCACCCCAATAATGATACAGGAGAAGGAGCTGGCCTAGTACTTGAGAGAATTTAAAAGACTGTTATTCCTAGGCCCAGAGTGTGGGCTATGAGCTACAGGGTGCCTCTATGGTAGGGTTTTTCACTTAAACACAAAAACTACTCAATTACCTAATCCTAAGTGTATATATCAAACAAAAACTATTTTGAAACACTCCAAGATATAGTTCAGCATCTTACCAAGTTTATTCTATCAGAATTCATGTAATCTGGCATAGAGGAAATTTTCAGTATTTTAAAAAGATTAATATGTTCCTGACTGTTTTACTGAAACAAATGTTAGGGCAATGTCTTTTCAAATGTTTAGAGAATGTAGCTGAAGTCTAGTTGTTTTGCTTTAGTTACTTACCTAATATTGCACTGTTAAGAGCCGAGCACACAGGTTCTCTCTGAATTGGGTCAAGTTGATTTCCAACTGGACTGTTCCAAGGATCTGAATACGCTAGTAAACTGAATGCGTCCTGTTAAAAACAATGTCAGTTCAGGTGATCTGTTCACAGTGGTTCTAGGTTGAAAGGTTGAGGTACACTGGGCGATAGTGGCACACGCCTTTAATGTTAGCACTTGGGAGGAAGAGGCAGGCAGATCTCTGTGAGTGTGAGACCAGCCTGGTCTACAAGAGCTAGTTCCAGGACAGTCTCCAAAGGTACAGAGAAACCCTGCCTTGAAAAACAAAAAGAGAAAGAAAAAGAAAGAGATCAAACACATCCAGGTGCTTTACCACGTGACCACTGATGTAATATTGACATTAATGAGTAAGCCCTGCCTTAATTCTAAATAAATGTGGGGACTGGACAAATCTCATTGAATAGCCTCTCAAGTTTAGTAGTGGAAAAAAATAAAGCCAAGATGGATCTTGTAAACATTCAGTATATTATTTTCAACTACACTGAAACAACTTCTCTTACAACTTTAAAACAATTGGCACATAGCTTTCTTCTCACTTTCTCTCTTACCATGGAAGATGTGATAGTTTCAAAAACTGGCTTCAAGTATAAGCAGTACTACTTGCTAGCTTTCTAGCTCCTAGCATAATAAAACTGTTTCATCATTTGATAGGATTACAAAGAGATGCTACTGCACAGACTGTGTGAGAACTAATGTTAGTGATGTCCTGTGGTAATTTGAATGAGAATGGTCCCCCTAGGCTCTTATATTTGAATGATTGGTACCCAGTAAGGGAAACTGTTAGGGAGGGGATACGGTGTGGCCTTGTTAGACTGCTTTGGTCATGGTATCTCTTCACAACAACAAAATCGTAACTAAGACAAATTTTAGTGCTTCTGTATTTGTATGCCAAGTCAACAGACTGACCCAGAGTAATATTCTACACACATATATAAACGAATAAAAATCAGCTATGAATGAACAAGAGACTCCATTGCCAACACAGACATACGAAGGGTGGCACAGAGTATAAACTTGTGAACTGGTAACCACAGCACTCTGAAAATAGTGTGTGCTACAAATTTCTAAGGAACATCTCTAGGTTTAGTTGTTCAAGCAACTCTATTCCCCTTATCCGGTATTACTAAGTGTGTGTGGCTGGGGGAATACCTCCTGGTCAGCTGTTCTTAGGCTCATGCCATTCACACAACCCATGACACAATCTGAAGTTGGTCTGAGGCTACAAATGGAATATATATGCCACTAAGTACACATACGACTGGCTTGTATTACTGAGTATTTCATTCAGGTTAGATTGCCCCAATCATAATGAAAGTTATAGAAATACATAAGTTTCTTAATAAACCATTTAGACTTACCAGTAACTACTCATAGATGTTGGGTGTAGAAAGTCTCTATGGACCTGTTTCTTACAGTACTATGTTTCTTCTTCTTTTTTTTTTTTTTTAAGATTTATTATATATACAACATTCCTTCCATGTATGTTTACATGCCAGAAGAGGGCACCAGATCTCATTATAGATGGCTGTGAGCCACCATGTGGTTGCTGGGAATTGAACTCAGAACCTCAGTCAGTGCTCTTAACCTCTGAGCCACCTCTCCAGCCCCTGACTATGCTTCTGTATCAAACTAGTGGTTATGTTTCCTATGCCACACTCCACCTCCAGCTTACTATTCAAAGAACAGTCCATATCCCTCAGACCTAACTTACTATTAGTCATGTTATTTCTTTTTTTTTTTTTTTTTTTTTTGGTTTTTCGAGACAGGGTTTCTCTGTGGTTTTGGAGCCTCTCCTGGAACTAGCTCTTCTAGACCAGGCTGGTCTCGAACTCACAGAGATCCGCCTGCCTCTGCCTCCCGAGTGCTGGGATTAAAGGCGTGCGCCACCACCGCCCGGCTAGTCATGTTATTTCTAAAGACTATGCTCTCAGCAACACTAATTTACCAGGTAAACCACAGCCATCTCATGAGTGTCATTGCCACCATGTAGATACATTTTATAAGATATACCAAGAATATGTCCAATGAGTGACTAGTACATAGAACTAAGTATAAAACTAGTCATGGATCTACACCATGACACCACCAAAAGGGCAGATTTTGAAGACTCAAAATCTCAATCCCCTTTAGTATTTAAGACCAAAACTCACAGAAGTAACAGCTGTAATGAATTACTGCTGGCCAGTATTCTATAAGACAACATTTCAGACATGGATCATCTCAACTGCTTTCACCTGAGGTTGGTATGCCCGCCCTACAGATGCAAACCGAGGCACAGTGAAAGGTGAGGATCACACAGTACATTAAGACGGAGGAGGTGTCCTTAGAATCTAGACGGTAGTGTCAATTTTTCCTCTTACTTGAGTAAGCACAGCTGCGAGGCAGGGCACACAGCAACGACCAGAACCTAATCACTGCATTTAGCATGTATCTACTGACCTAATGGGAACATGTAAACGGAGGCTAAGAGAAAGAAAAATGCATGGCTAAGGAGGAGTTAGATCCTAAAATACCCCAAATACCACATGATGAAAACATGTTTTCCATAAGGGAGGCAATGGGACTTTAAAGAAAGAAGCCTAGCAGGATTAGACTTGACTTGAAAAGACTCACAGAAAGCACCACAATACAGCTTAGTGCTTCTCAACCTTTCTAATGTTGCGACCCTTAATACAGTTAATAAATAAAGCTTGCTTGAAGATCAAAATGCAAAGTTAAGGCACTAGAGGTCAGGGAGTTATGGTACATACCTTTAATCCCAGTATTCAGAAGTCATACACTTTTAATTCCAGCACTAGGGAGGTGGAGCCAGGAACAATATAGCTAGGCAGAGAGAGGAATATAAAGGGGAAGAGACAAGAACTCACAGGAGTGTGGAGTCTGAGGATTCGTGAAGACAGAATCTCACCCTTTTGGTCTGAAGATTTGGGAGAGGTAAAAGTTCTCTATTGATTGGCTGCTTTGCTTTTCTGATCTTCAGTTTGAAACCCATTATCTGTCTCTGGGTTTTTATTATTTGTGCTACAGTTCCTCATCTTGTGGTGACCCCCAACCATGAAATTATTTTTGTTGTTGCTTTGCAACTGTAATTTTGCTACTGTTATAAATCATAATGCAGGATATCTAATATATGATCCCCAAAAGAGTCACAACCCAGAGATTGGGAGCCACAGGCTTAGAAGCAGAATAAAGCTCTAAGCAAGAAAACCAGCATCAAACTCCCAAGCATAAACACGTAGAAAGTTCAAAGTTAAGAAACACAAATGAAATTAGGAAAGCAATCTGAATGTTTTTACCCTGCAATGCTATGAAAACTACCAATTCTAAAACTGTAATCAGTGTTACTTAGGACAGGATGAAGGCCCTACCTCGTGCCACTTCTGCCATCCGTCACCACCACTGTTGGCTCACTGGTACAAAGTTTCTGGGATGCAATCTAGCATCAAGCAGCATCAGTCAAAATAACACTCATAGCCTTTCTCAGCGATTTCTAAAAAACTTTTCTCAGTGAAAGAAATCTTTAAAGAAACAAAGATGCATGTATATAAAGGTGTCACAGAAACACCTTGACATAAAATCAAAACAGCAATGCACAAAGGACAAGTCACATAACCACTTCAAAACCACCTATAAATAAGGTATAGAATCTGGAAGAAATACTTTCAGATAAAACCAAATTAAACCAAAATCTCACAAGTCATGTAAGACAGCTCATACTTGGGAGGCTGAGGGAACAGGTCTGAAGGTTAAGAGGCCAGTAGGGACCACATGGTGGAACCTTGTTTTAAGAAGACAAAAGGGAACCACGGTAATTTTTAGCCAGGTAAAATATGTGCACATGGGAGAAAATATGATGTCATCCCAGGTTATGCTTCATTTTAAAGAAAAAGATTGCTTCAATGGAAATAACTTCTGAGGGAAATGCAGAGTCTCAAACTACTCAATTTTGACGTAAGAGCCAGAGCAGTTCCTCTATAGTGTAAATCTGAGCTAGCTCTATTTCTCTCTCAGCTGTTGTACTTAAAGCACCTTGAAGCCATGAATACATATCTGAGTTACACGGCTGACATTCAAGAAATGGTTGCCAAACCAACCAATCCAGGCAGCTTCCTTGGGAGCTACTGGAAAGAACAGGCTCTCAGGAACAAAGAACAAAGATGACACACAAAGAGGAAAGGAAGACTAGAGACACTGTGGGCTACCCACAGCTGCAAGAGCTCCCTGACATTAGAGTAAGACATATGAAGGGAAAAAGAAGCACTGCCCCATTATTAAAAATTATAGCAAAATTTTACCGTAACTTCAAACCATTCTCTGTGTGCGTGAAACTGTTCTGCATACAGGGTCTATGTCACTGACAGCCTGCACATACAAGGTGATCCCTTATGATTATAATGTAGCTGGACAGTTTCTAATGCCTACTGACATCACTCGTCATGTCAGTATTACTCATGTGTGTGAGGAAATATAAACAAAGTATAAAGCACTGCTAGCCACAACACACCGTATAGCTGGCTGTGCAGTAGACTACACCATCTAGGTCTGTGTTAAGTGTACAATGATGTTTGCACAAAAACAAAATGGCTAGCTGGGTGGTGGTGGAACATGCCTTTGTGAATTATTTTGTTACTATCACCTCAAATTATTCTTTCTCCCTAATGACTTGTGGTCCTCCTGAGGCTTAGCTGGAGCCTCCTGGGCCCAGCGGCTCTTTATCTGAGGATGCATGCTTCTCTATGAAGTTGGGATGGTTTGTTTCCCTGCAGACTGGAATGAAATGGTGCATTGGGTTTGTGGGTATTAGAACTCTCCCCAACAGTAGTTTAATGGTGTTCTGTCTGTAAGTTAATGAAGGCCAGAGAAAGCTGGGTGGTGGTGGCGCAAACCTTTAATCCCAGCACTCGGGAGGCAGAGGCAGGCGGATCTCTGTGAGTTCGAGGCCAGCCTGGTCTACAGAGCGAGTGCCAGGACAGCCAGAATAGAACTACTACACAGAGAAACCCTATCTCGAAAAACAACAACAACTAAAAAGTTAATAAGGAGTTTAAAATGTTAACTTTCTTAACACTGATCAAGAGGCTCTAAAGAGCTGCACAGCAATGCTTATTGGAACTGTGCATTACAAATGTACTCATGGGAGACATACTTAAAATGGAAGAGTAAGTAAACATATACTGGTCATTAGAAAATCTTCTAAATTAAAAATGATAATCATTTCCTGATACATGAATATCTATTTCTACCAATTCTTTTATATCTAGTACAAAATAGTAATTTAACCCTTTCTCTCAATTGTTGAAGGTTACCACTAGAAACACAACGGTTATATTACCCAAGCAGATGATGTGGTATGGTGACTACACGTCTCTTCCTAACTTAGCTACTGAAATATAAGTTGTAATCATCATAACTGATTACAGGAGGATACCATGCAAGTAGATATTTACTAGCAAGTAGATACCTTGGTATTAAAAGTTGCTGATCACTGAGATCTCAGTTCAGGTCCAGAACAAATACAAGCCAGCAGTCACTTGCCCTTTCCTGTAATCTCCAACCTTTACTCACACATCAATTACATCTCCCTTTGCTTTCTAGGATATGCTGTGTTGGAATATAAAACGTCTCCTATAGGCTTTTGAGTTTAATGCTGTCTCAGCAGGTGGTGCTATTTTTGGAAGCCCTGAAAACTTTAGGAGATGAAACCTAGCTACAAGGTCACTGGGACCATGTCTTTGAAGGATATAGATGATCCTTAGTTTCTTCTTTGCTTCTCTCATCCATGGGCTAGTCCAGGTGTGAGAGTTACCTGAGAAGAGGCTAGATATAATGGGCCAAGCAGTGTTTAAAAGAATACAATTTGTGTATTGTTATTTTGAGGCATAAGCTAGCCAGCCAGCCGGGAGCCGGGCTGGGAAGAGGCCCATAGCTCCACAACAGAATGGCGCCCAGATATGTGGACAACTGAATCCACTGAAAGCCTGAGAAAGCTTGGGAAAGAGGAAAGCATGTTTTCTTGGTAGCAGCAATTTCTGGAAAGGATAAGGTTGGGGATGGCAACCAGAATAAGAACAATAGGAAGAAGAGAGAAAAGAGGAGTCGCCAGAGAGACATGGAGAGAAAACAGGAGGTACAAAACGAAAGAGAGGTAACTCCACGTGGCAGAATGTAGATTAATACAAATGGGTTAATGTAAGTTGTAAGGCTAGCTAACAGCCTGAGCTATTGGCCACATATTTAAAATTAATATTAATTCTCTGTGTATTTGAGAACTGATAGGCAGGAAAGAAAAGTCCACCTACACATGAGGGCTCTAATTTTATCAATAGATTAACCTGACAAATGGAAACTGGAGAAGGTAGAGCCTACTTGGAAGGAATAGGTCACTGCAGGCCTGCCTGAGAAGGGTGCCGTTTGTTCCTCCCCCATCCTTTCCCTGTCAGCTCTGCTCTATTGAGCTCCCTGAAATGAGGTGCTGTCTCAGCACAGACCCAGGAACAATGGAGACAAAGTGGGAACAGATTGGAACCTCTAAAATGACAAGCTAAAGAGTCCCCACTCCCTCAGTATGTTATCACAGAAAGCAAGCAACATTCTTACCTTCAGCATTTTTTTATTTGCTGTGTTCTTGCCACATTCTCTCCTCAGCTGCTCACTCATGGCTTGTAGCTCTCGACCAAAGTGGATCATTCTTTCTATGGCAGCCTGACTTCCTCCACACAGCTGGCGTCTTAACTGGCTGGAATCAACTTCTATAAACAAAACAAACAGCCATTTCACTACTTTTTGAGAGAAAAACAATAGGAAAAAAATGGTATAATTTTTTAATGTAACATTTGTATATTCTTTAGTAACTGAGTCTTAGTAGTTTATCTACACACAGATGTTTGTCTGTTCTTATCAGGCTGGCCCTGGCCTCCCAAGGGTTAGTGTTACAAGCAGGTACCACCATGACTGGCTGCTAAACACAGAGATTCAAAAATTTCTTGTATGGACTTTGTAACTCAAAAAAGCTATACTTTGTCTCAGAGTCTGGGATCCAACACTTAGTGCCGCCCAGAGGCAAGAACCTTTCAGTGTTTGCATAGAAAATTAAGTGGAACTCCCCAAAACAATATGAAACATGAGAGAGAAGAGAGAGGGAGAGGAGGAAAAGAGAATGAGAATAAGAAACAGTTATTCCCTCTCAGGCTTTAATTGATAGGAAACAAAGATAAAATGTGCTTAGAAGTTAAGACCCCAATAGAAACATTGATGACATTGTATCTTATAATGAAAAAATTTATGCTATTAAGAAAAATTAGAAGTATTTTATATTATATATTGTTAATACTTAGTAACTGACAACACTGTACCCATAAAAATCACTACTAACAGTATTCATATGATGATGAAGAATGGCTAATATTTACAAAGTACTTGATATAATTAATTTTTCATAGATGAACTCATCTGCTCTTCACAATGACCTAGCTTTATTTTATCCATTTTACAGATGAAAAAACTGAGGCACAGGGAGTTAAGAATTCTGTCTGAGGTCATGCAGCTAGTAAGTAGCAGTTGCAGCTTTCAAATCCAGATAAATCTGGCTCTAGAACTCTTGCCCCAACCCAGTGTGTTTCCATGTCTCTAGATATAGAGGGTCTTACATCAGCAGAAAAGACCAACCAGGCTGTCCCTTAAACAACTTCAGTAATTATCTTTCAGTCTCAAAATAAAGATATCTAATAATGAAGCGAATTCCACAAATAATTTATAGGCTTCATTTTCACTGTTTGATAAGGATGTCAGCTGACAATCTAACTCCACAGACATTATCAACAATAAAGTCAGACATTCAAATGCATCATTAAGATGTTGCTTTAAAATGGGATAAGTCACAACTAGGAATAGCACTACGCATTGCAAGTCATATGCTTGCAATAAATGGATTTAAGAGACTCAGTTTAACTGAAATTTACAATAGAATTTCTAACCATAAGGTCTTGCTGACTATACCAGAAATGGGTATAAAAATGTTTTCTATCTCCAGCCTTCACCCCTGAGGTAGTACGCAGCGTATCACCAGAGCTGAGCTAGCAAGACTGGCACCTCCCCTCAAGAGTCCAAAGGTGCCGCTCTTTCCAAAAACCTATGCTCACAGAGTGTTAAGTGAGATGTTTCATTTTTGAAATCTGGCTTATGCTTAGCTGTGAATCAGTCCAAGTAAAAACATAACCTTGTAGCCACCATTTTTTATTTAAAATGTAAGAAATATCACTGCAGACCCATTTCGGTGTCACAATCTTCCATTTCGTGGTCATGTTTAGAGCTACCATTTAGAAAACCATTGGATGAAGTTTCTCCAACTCCATTGGAGTAGTGATCTGTTTCCATGTCTACATCATTACTGAAAATGAAAAAACAAACCTAATTTTAGAAATTAGCTTAAGGTTAAGTTACTACACAACTCTGTAGCCTATAGAAAACCAATTTTCATAAAACGATAGCAATCTGCAAATGAAGTAAATGAGGTTAAGTCTCAAATATATTAACACAAGCACATAACTGTTCTATAACAAATCTGAACTCCTGGAGATGAAGGAGCAGAGGCATGGGTGCAGAAGTGTAGTGATTCTTATGACCTTACATTAATATGAAAAATTATGCTTTGGCATAATATTTATTTTTCAAAATCAGATCTGTACTTCTTTCTTGTCCCTGAGTCTTCCTGAGACAACCCTTTCCATTGCCCCCAAGAGTCATCTCCAGCATTTAATGGTGAAACTTTGCTCTTCAAACTGATAAGCCTGGCTCGAAGAACCCAGTATGCTGCTTCCCTGCCCTCATTATTTGTTTATTTCTGGACTTTTTACAAGTCTCTAGACGTTCCCATACCTAGGTCATTACTGACATTACTTTTGGTCCCTGTCCTTGCTATTTAAAAATATGCTACCTCAAAAGTAGCTAATAAAAAAAAATGAACAAAATCCAAACTATTCTGGCTCATCATCTTCCAGCTTAGATCTAAACAACACTACTACTCTCCAGATTATCTTGTTGGTCAAATGAGTCTAAAGGACTATCAAATCTTCACTTTTATTTTTATTTTACTCAGATCTTTGTTGCCAAGGCCTTGAATTTTCAATCCCCCTGTCTCCACCTTCTAAGTAATTGAAATCTCAGGTATGCACCATCATGCACAGCTCAACAAAGCTTTATTCCAACAGCAGCCAGATAGTTTCTGGACAAGTTCTCATGCTTGCTCATCCTGTACTGTATATCAACACCTTTGTGCTACATACATGCCCTTTCAGATCCACCTAGACTAAAGAAACAATAAAAACGTTAGTCTTAGGATGTCTCCTACAAAGAGTTAAGCAACACTGAACCCAGAGGTGGATAACTGGTGAAAACTGAAGAAATGTGGAAAGGGGGCATTTCTCATCATAAAGTAAATTATAATCATTTGCAGGAAAAAAACAATAAACAAGCAAAGAAAAAAAAAAACAACAACAGCAAAATCCAAACCCTAGTACAGATAACCCCATAGTTAACAGTTGTGGGTATGTGAGTAGAGGTGAGCACATACACATTACACACCCACACCCACTCATGCTTCCTATTCAACAAGTCTGAAAGGTAAAGACAGACCTGAGAGATGAAGCAAAGGATTAGGGACTATAGAACTGACTTATTCAATATGAAAAAGTCTGGCTATTAGAGAAATCTCATAAATAGGAAAATAAATTTTAAACTTTAAAATCCTTACTGTCACAGTTTTTAATTATATAAGCTTTTTAAGATTTTGGACAACCTGATTTAGTATTAGAAGAATTCATTTATTCACCCATCCACTCACCTACATTTAAAAAAGTCTTGAGGCCTGTTCATTGTTGGGCACTAAGGATATGATACTATTCTCCAAGAGTAAATGGCCTGTGCTCAGCTAGTTCGTGTATCCCAGCGTGGTCTCCACCAATGCTATGAAGAATGTTAACCATAAGGAGCATGTTGTGTGAAGGTATAAAGCAAGGACAATGAAATGACGTCTAGGTTACCTACAGAAGTACCACCTGGACTTGGGACTTAGGCAAGAACCGGAGTGGGTTGAGCATTTTAGACAGTGGGAGGAAAAGGCACAAATTCCTAAGTCAGAAATCCTGGTGAGAACTTTCAGCTCTGCAACGTACTACCTAATTGGTGACCTTAAAAAACAGCATTTACTTTCTGATATTCAGCTACACATCTGGAAAATGTTTAAACAGTTAATGCCATCTTTATTGACTTCACAATACTGGTGCCGAACAGTCATTACCTAACAAATAATTCTTACTGGTTAGCAGTTTGAAAGGCAATTGCTAAGTTTGCTGTCTTTTCCTTCTCTGCTACAAAGGAGGGATACTGCATTATCAACCTTGCAGCTAAGCAAGAACAGGTTTACTGTGCAACTTCCTGTCAAGAGGGTAGCATCTTAGAGAAACCGCCACACACCAACAGCAATCATACTACCAAACAAAAGCAGAACTCTAATTAGCAAAAATGCCAATTATAAAGTTCTAATTAATATTTACATTTTCCATTCAGAATTTGTTTTCTAATAGGTCAATTTCACCGTGAGTGCCCACCCTCCTCAGCAGTTCTTTTTCCTACTGTTCTCAGGTTTCTGTGCCTACCCCACCCCCAGATCCTGTACCGTACACCATTACCATTTAAGATTTTCATCATATGTGATAGATAACCCAGAAATTTCAATCTCTAAATTTGCATACATAATTTTTAAAAAGACTCCTTCCTGCAGAAGTATATTTGCTGTAAGATTCCATGCTAACAGTTGGTTCTCCCTCAACATGAGATTTAGAACACAAAAATACAATGTTTCTTGTTCTAGCTACAGGACCAAATTAATATGAACCCAGTTTAAATGCTACATCACTGGGAAGGCTGAATGCACATAAATTTGCTCTTGGATGCTTGTATTCAGCAATTAAACTGCACAGATTTTAAAAAATACATGGATGTTATGTTAAATCTGCAAGTGTCAAGGCCCATAGTATGTTCATTAAGATGTATCTTCTTTCATGGCCCTTGGCAAGAAGACAGTGCACCAAGCCCAACATTTTCCCTTATACTTTCCTAGGGGGAAGAACATAGTAGGAAATGGAAGACCTAAGAAGAGCTCTGCACACAAGAAGTGAAAAACCTACAGGAAATAGTCTCTCCCCTTTTATTTTCTGGCAACTCATAGCTCCAGGTCCCAGTGGGGATCACAGACGTTCTTCAAACATTATCAGTGAAGATGGCATCTATGCCCTGGTCATTTCTATTAATACAAAAGGTAAGGAAATCACTTTATTACCTGGTAAAGTTATTTACTTGCTGTGACCTTGACACATTGATACTGTTTAGCTCTGGTACATTCAAACTGGATAACTGGTGTTTACTATGGCAATATGATTGATGTGCTTTATTTGATATTATACCATTGCTACAGCTTTCAAAACCTGGTAAGAAAACAGAAAAAGATACTACTAGAAACAAACAACAATTTGATTAGGTTGTCAATAATACTTTTATATTTTACACTTCTAGAATGCAGGGAGGCCAATGGGGTATTTAAAGTATTTTTCAAAGCTTGACAGTGTATTAAAACTTCTTTGTAAACTATTATTTCCTCCAAGTTTCATTACAGATCTTACTTAATCCCCACAATCACTCGTGAGGGCCCTACAGTGTTACTAGCAAGGACAAATTATGAGAACTGGGTTAATGATTCCATTGTAGTGCTAACATCGAGTATTCTTACGAAAGTCTAGATGGTCCAGTCTTTCTAGGTAATGTGGGACAGCCTATGCCTCTGAGGCTACAAATCTGGACAGCATGCTACTATACTACATGATATAAGAATTCATAATATAGGGCTAGCAATATGGTTCCGTAATTAAGAGTTCTGGCTGCTCTTGCAGAAGACCTAGGCTAGAGTTCTAGCACCCACATGGTATCTCACAGCCATCTATAACTCAGCTCCGACGCCCTCTTTGGCCTCTCCTGCCAATACACACACGGTACACAAGCATACATACATACATGCAAGCAAAACATCCATAAAGAAACCAGAATACAATGGTATGTATTTTTATACTTTGGCATAGAAATAATCACAATAGAAATATCATGTGATTTTGTGATGTTTTCCTGCTCCATCAATACCACATGGGGCCACTTTGCATAGCTTGTCACTAACAGAAATGCTGTTATGTGGCATGTTATAGTCATCCCCTTTCATATGAATACACTAACTGTCTGATACTGAAGACACAGACATGCAAGCTTGTTCTCATCATATGGGAGGTGAGTCAAAAATCCTGAAGTAAAGCAGTACAGAACAGAGCAAAGAACAGGGTTACTTGTTGGGAATAAAGCCATCCCGTCACTGGATCTGCTCTTTAAAGTAAAGACAGGCTTAGCAAGCTGACAAGCTGGTAGGATGCCAGATGAAGAAAAAAAAAAAATAAAGAAACTGGAAGAACAGAATGTAGACAGAGTAAAATAAAGATTTTTTTTTCCTACAGAATTACAGGCTATGTGTATGGCTTTGGGGATGAGCAGAATCCTTAACGCTCAATCAGTGGGTATTACTGAAGAGCTTGTCAGTTCATCACAGAAATTACAATGCAATGTCAACTGGAAGACAAAGGCAAGTGCAAGTTTGAATATTCTGTCTTCTTAACTAAAAAATACCCAAGGAAGTTTGCTAGAGATGAAGAAAGACTTACTAAGAATGAAGAATTCAAACTAGCTAGAAAAGCTTTTGCCAAGCCAATTACAGATCTTGTGACCACCAACAATTTCTGAAACTATGGTATTTCCTTTGGAAACTATATAACAGTTTTCTACAGAAATACCCTGATAGTTAGGTATGTAATGAAAGAGGTTTTCAGTTTTAGAATTCTAATCCGAGCCTATAACAGCCTGTCTGCCTTATCTAGCCATATTTGAATTGCTTTCTGGGTTTTAATGACTAAACTTAAATTAAAATACTGCAAACCACACAGTTCCATATATAAAGGGTAAAGTAGGGTTTCTGATTTAGGTAGGTTTCTTCATTACAAGCTATATACATAATATGTGAAATCTAAATGTCCTTTTCAATTTACCAAAGATAAAGGCTAGCTTGGTTTTGTTTAATAAGAAACGTTTATCTGTAATAGATCCTTTACATTCTTTTCAAAAGAGTAGTGTTTTTTTTTTTGTTGTTGTTGTTTGTTTGTTTTTGTAAAGAAACTAAGTTTTATGTTAGTACTTCTGTACTGAGGAGCCCTTTGATTTAAAATCTTTTGGGGTTTATAAATGCTTTCAGTAACAAGAATGACAGGACAAGCATTTGGGGTAGTTCTTATTGACATAACTTAAACTACTTCGTGTTGGAAATATATACTTCAATAAAAAAAGAATATGTGGTTATACAAATCACTCCTAGGAGTTCATGACATGCAGGTTGTGTGTGTATTTAGCCTATTACATTAAATTATTATTGTTCTTAGCTTATAATAAGAATTAAAATTGCATGTAAAGATGCCAGTCTTTGTGAAACTTGTTGGTGCTTCTTAGCATCTCTAAATCAGTACCTGAGGAAATACTACTTGTTTAATCTGCTAATATATAAGGAATAAATAATGAAGAATTAAACAATGACAAAAATAAAGTTAAATACAGAGAGGCAAGGCTCATGTTGGGAAACAGAATTAAAGAGGCAAAGAGAGGAGGAGGAGGATTAGAAAAGGATCTGTAGAAGTGATGGCAAGAGAGCCAACAGAGAGAATCTGAATCACAAGAACACCAAGAGCTATAGTGCAAGTAGTAAGTAAGCTGAAAAACAGACAGGAAAGAAAATAATTTTGGGGGCTTTTTCAAGACAGGGTTTCTCTGAAGCTTTTTCGGAGCCTGTTCGGGAACTCTCCCTGTAGACCAGGTTGGCCTTGAATTACAGGCTTGGTAATTTGTGGGACAGCACAGCCAGACCACTTTAAATTCTTACTTCATAGGATTATTTTTCTCATTATTGTCAATGGATTTAGTAACAACTCTTTTTGACGACTGACATTTATTTATGAAGCTCTATTAATAATCTCAATTCCTTGTGATACTTCTTGGTACTAATGAATCTGGTTTTTCTTTTTACGCAAAACACGAGATTGTACATAGACAATTAAAAAAGAATGTCTAGATTTAAAAAAGTTTTTCAAACTCAAAATTATATAAAGAAGAGTAAAAGTTTGAAAGACTGCATCTCACCAGAAAAATGTGCAGTACTGCTTTTGCCTGGTGCTAAATTGTGGATACTCATTCCATGGCTGGGACTCATGCTTGGACTACTAAAAGGCCGAGGACTGACGGGGTAGCTGTCTTGAGATTTTGGACTTCGGCCTCCCAAACACCGTACTTCACTATCTGTACCGTTCACCATTTCTATAAACTGACGTACTCTGAAAGAAAAAAGGAAGTTTATTTAGGCACATTCATCAAGTCTGTACACAGCTATAAAATTTAAAAAGATCTATTTTAAAACTTAAAATCTGTATTTTTCTTGGTATCATATCAAGTGAGTTATGTAAAACAAGATTTTAGATACACACGTACCTAGGGAGGTACAAAGCACAGCCTTAGCCTGGTCCTTCCTTACCCCAGACTGCATGCATTCCCAACCTCTTAGCAAAAATGGGCCTCAGTTGGCTTTTACTGTGAGGCAAAATAAATGATATTTAGCTTACAATGACTTTCTACTGGGGCTGGAGAGATGGCTCAGTGGTTAAGAGCATTGCCTACCCTTCCAAAGGTCCTGAGTTCAATTCCCAGCAACCACATGGTGGCTCACAACCATCTATAATGAGGCCTAGTGCCCCCTTCTGGCCTGCAGAGATACACACAGACAGAATATTGTATACATAATAAATATCTAAAAAAAAAAAAAAAACAAAGACTTTCTACTGCTTGAAAGATTGAAATCCTAAGTTCAGTAACATCCAACTTTCTTTCTGAAAGAGTCATACTTTGTAGTCCAGGCTGGCCTGAAACTTGTTATGTGAACACCAGACTGGTTTTGAAGTCTCAGAGATCTACCTACTTTTGTCTTATGAGTGCAGGATTATAGGCATGTACCCCCAGGCCCCACACGTCCATCTTTCTTAAACAACAGAGAATCATCAAAAAAATTTTAATGCCAAATTAGGATGTCTATAACCTACAAAGCAGAAAACAAGTGTTGATGATGTGTAAAGACTGAAAACCTTCTACAGTAAATCAAAGGATTCACCAAGAAGAACAGTACAGGAGGTCCTTACGATGTTAAGCACAACCATCAGCCAGCAATTCTATTTGTGAGTAAAAAAGAATTGAAAGCTAGGACTTCAGTAGATACTCATAAACCTATGTGTACAGCAGAATTACTCACAATGGCAGAGAGACAAAAGCAACCCCAGCACCCATCAGCAAACAGAAGAACAAACAACACACAGTCCATCCACACAATGGGGCGATCCCCAGCCTTCACAGGTAAATTCTGGCACATGCGACAATATAGACAAAACTTAAGGATATTACGCTAAATGACTAAGCAGGCCACAAAACAACCAATACTGTATGAGGGCTCTTGGTTAGCAAGCAGGGTGTTTAATGGCAGGATGTACAAAGCATAAGCATACTTAAACATATAGTAACGCACATTAAGAATGGGTAAAAAGGTATATTTTACTATAAATTTTCAATATATAGTCATTAAGTTACTCGGGTACCAGGAGAAAACTGAGATCACTGTCTTCTAAGTTAAAACATTCACATTTTAAGTGAGAGAGTGGATGAATGATAAAAGCAAAGTATCACGTGCTTAAAGGTGTCAACGCAAAGCACTCTGCATTTGTTCACACATGCTGAGCACCTGCCCTGTCACTGAGCTGCACATCCACAACTCCACATCTTTTTAAAATTTTTATTTATTTAAGGTTTACTTATTTATTATGTATACAGTGTTCTGCCTATATGTATGCCTGCAATGCAGGCCAGAAGAGGGCACCAGAATGCATTATAGACGGTTGTGAGCCACCATATGGTTGCTGGAAATTGAACTCAGGACCTCTGGAAGAACAGCAGCCAGTGCTCTTAATCTCTGAGTCATCTCTCCAGCCCAGCTCCACATTTTTAAAAATATCATTTAAACATTCTATACTATAAAAGTATATGTAGATATCTGCAAAAAGCAAAATAAAATATCAAAACCACAAATCATAAAGATAATTTTAGCTACTTAATATGTGTAACACAATATTTAATGTGTAACATTTTACTAAAACTCACTTTAATGTGAAAAGGAGATTGGGATTTCTTTCAAGTAAACTTGGGTATAACTGTTGTGTTGTTTCAATGGCTTCTCCCATTCGTCCTGCTAACACCAACTTCTGAATTCCTATTCAGAAAAGAAAGCAAAATATTAACTCTTACAAAAGCAGAAAAATCCTTGTATCACTCCAGAAAAAAAGTAACAGTGAAAACCTCTAAAATAATTATTGTTAAACTCTCTTTTTAAACCTTTTAAGTTTAGATTAGGGAATCCAAGGAAAAATTTCAGTCATTAAAAATTAGAAAAACAAATATCTTCAGACACTACTTTAAATATCATGAATGGGGATGTAAGTATTATAGGAAAAATACCCATTGAGAAGTACTCTATTTTCTAACAGTAGAATTTAGAAGACTACTGGAACACCAAGACTTTGAAAAGATCAGAACTTTGCTATATTAGACACTGAGGACATGGAATACTCAAGTAAGTGACCTCCTCTGCAGGAGAGTGTACTGCGGCAGTGAGAAAAAGCAATATAACACGTACTACAGCATGCTCCAACTGTTACCGGTTTGCTCTGTTTCATCTTTCTACTCTTGCCTATCGGGTGAAACCTCCTCTGATGACTAACTTACATCTATTGTCAGCATGCTTTGTCCTGGTTAAAACAATACCAGCGCTGGCCAGCTCAAGGCCCTAAGCAATAAATACTTAAAACCAATACCACCTTAAATTTCAGAGAAAATTAGAAGATATTTAAATTTCTTTCAAAGAGAAACATTCTTTTATATATTGTCACCATCAAGACTGTCACCAAAGCAACAAAAGAAAACTTTCTTTATATCAAATGCTTCCTATTTTAAGAAGCTTAAAAGAGTTGTCCCACCCCACCCTCCACCTACCAGGTCTGACAGCAAACTCAGAGCACTGGGCTGTATTGACAACCTCAATCCCAACCACAGGAAAGCAATCATGAAAATATGATAAAGGCATTTCTTTCTAAAGTTCTACAAGATTATTTCTATATTTAAAACTCCAGTGTAAGTTTTTCTTTAAAAACTTCAAAACTGTCAATGAGCGTGACACAAGAATGAGGCTCAAGGTCACCCTGGTCTATATGAGACCCTGTCTCAAACAGAAGAACTCCTCATCCCCGGCACAAAACAAAAACATTCAAAAAGTAAATAAAAATAAATCCGAAGGCATCCACTTTAAAACAATATATTCATGAAATTTTTAATTAAAAAGAATAAAATTTCTACAAGGTAAAGCAACCAAACTTAAAATTTAAAAACAAGTATTTGCTGTGCACCATGATGTTCTTACTTTGTCTATTCTTAATGGAAGCTAATTCTTCTAGAACAGTCTGGTCTGTAGATCTGGCAAAGGCCTCTGCTGTGGCACAGTACCCATGGTGGACTAAATAAGATGAAACCATTCTTAAAAGGAAAAACAAAGAAAAAAAAACATATCTTTTAGTCGGGAGAATACATGTTTTAGACAACAAGCTTTGTTTAACTAAGTCTAATCTGGTATTACAAAGTTAATCTATTTCCTTAAAGCCAGGTTCTATGACTTTCAAATTTAATATAAGTTATAGATAGTCTAAAAGATAATTTAAAATAAGACCAAAGGCATTAACTCATCTTTTTTTTTTTTTATTCTTGGATTCTTCTTCTCCCCTGGCTCCTAATTCATTTTCCTGTTATCTAATCCTACTAATGGTAATTTCTACCTCACCTTAAATATAGATATCCCAATAATATATTAGTTAGGTGTAAAACACCCAATTTTGAGATAACTGATTAATTCCTGGTGTTCTGGAGGCCCAAATACTTTCTGTACTCATTAATCCAATAAGATGGGATCTCAAAGTTTGAAGAGAGACTGATGTTAGCCCAGAGAGAGAAATGTTCAGAATAAACCCACAAGGGGTCATTAAACAATAAGGAATCAATCTTGCAATCAACTTGATTTTGAACAGAAAATTAATTTGCAGTTTACAAACAATACATTTCTAAGACAACAATCCTATGTTTTAAAAAGCCACAAATAGTTAGCAAACTGGTAATACAACATTAATCAAAAATCTGTTGCCTCCAACCACTGTCTTTAAATAAAACCCCAAAAGATTTTCTTAGAATTGTAAACTGAAGAACCTTTAAAGCAATTAAAAATACACTTTTGCAACCATGTCACAATGATGCCATCTAAAGCTATTTTCTTGGCCTAGATTATACAATCACAATGATTTTAACCTAATGGTATTTAAGTTTTGTATGTGTACTATCTACTTCACGTTTTAACAACTGTCACTTACTCCTAATGATAACCAGACAGTGTCTCTGGACTTCTCGACAGATGTATAGTCTAAAAAAGCTGACCGACATAGAAATTCAGTTTCTTGCTGTTTCTTATGAAATTCTACAACATAAATCAAATATATAAAGCCACTGAAAAGCTCTTCCTAGTAACAGATTTAACACTTACTTTCTTCTCTGCTGCTGGCATCCTCCATTATTATTAATGAATTCAAAGTATTTATGCTGCACTTGGGCTAACTCCACAGTCAATTGTTCCTTGGTCTTCTTCCCTTTATCTTATCCTAAGTGTCTAATGGTAACTTATATAAAAAATAGCATTAAAAATAGTTACTAAAACTTTTTTTATTTTTAAAATTACATTTACTTTTTTAATTTATTTGGTGGCGTGTACACTCATAATGGCACGCATGTGGAGGTCAGAAGACAACTTGGAGGAGTGGGTCTCTCAGAGTATGTGGGTTGCAGTAATAGAACTCAGGTGGAAAGGCTCAGGAGCAAGGTAACTTTAGCCATCTTGGTGGAGCCATCTTTCTTACCCAAATTTTAAAGCCTTTCAGGTAGAGGTCTATAGTTAGATTCTTGAATAGGAACAATTATAGTCTTTCTGAATTTAAATGCTAAATAAAAAGAAAAGGAGCTCACTCCAATAATTAGAGGCCCCTGCTGACACTCTCACAGAGAGAGAACCCACACAATTCACCCTTGGAAACGGTGTATGCGCATTCTGACTATACTCCCATACCTCTCCACATTGAGAGTGAGCATCAAGCAGCCATTCTCTTTCCCCCACTGTACCTGAACTACTGCTAAGGAAGGTGCTCGAGGTCATGTTCCTAAATCACAGAACCCAAAACATAACATCTAGGTCACACCTTTAAAACCTATCTTTTTTGCCAACATTATTAGAAATTTGACGTATAATCTACAGAATTCGCTCAGTAATATTACTAAGGTTAACAAAGTAAATGAACAAGCATCACTATTTCCTCCATCCAATTAAGTCAAACAAATACAATTCTCTATGTGCCTTAAATCATTTTATTTCAACTGTCAAACTACTTTTTGAGAGATTAAAATACAATCAGTAGTACACACAAATGATTAGGATTTAACCTAGACTTCTAGATACATATCTTTAATTTAAAAAGGAATAATTTGCCTTATAAACACTCAGTGTTTACATTCTGTGCATTCAAATTTCCTTGCTCTTACTTTTGTATCATGGTCTGCCATTCTCCTTCTCGATCCCCAATAGGAAACCGGTCTATCTGGGCCTGTATTTTGGTTCTCCATTCTCGCATGTAGTCTTCTATATCAAATACAAAAGGATGTTGCCCAAAATTGGCATCAACCACTTCTCCTGGTGTCTGAAGCCCCACAGTAGGATACAAATTTGGCTGTAAGACAACATATTTCTTTAAATATCTATTGATTATACACTAAAGACTTCATTTTCTTTGCAATGCAAGAATAGAACCATAAATTTACTTCATGAATATTTTTAAATCTCAATCAAAGTATTAGTGGAAGACAACTAAAACAAGATATTATGTGTTGTACAAAAACTGCTATTTTCTAAACTCTAATCATTAAGAAAGTGTAAACAACTAAGATATTCACATGAATGATTATGAGACCCTGTTGCATAATCCATGTAGCACTATATGTCTAATATAAGAAAAATCTAACCCATGCTCTTAAAACATCATATAACAGTTACAAAGCTTTAGGATTAACACACAACTCAGGTTTATCCCAGCTTTTATATAAGCTACATGTCTACAAAATGTACATTACAGCTAGTTCAAAGAAAATACCATTTATAGTCTACTACAATCATCAACAGCACACTTGGAAGCCCGCCTTTATAAAGTCAGTGGTAAAACTTGCTTTAAGTAAGACATAGTGTCATCATGGGGATTTTCTTTCTTTTAAAAAAAAAAAATGCAACGTTTTGTGAATTTATGTGTCACCCTTGAACAGGGGCCAATCTAATCTTCTACTGTTCCAATTTAGAGGATTCTTAATGCAAAATAAAAGCTCAAATTACAATTTCAAAGGAAGAGACAAATATGAATATTCAAACTGAAATGTGTTCAAAAATACCCTAAGATTTTAATCTGAAAAAAAAAATAAAATCTAAAAAGTAGTAGCTTCAAATACACACATAAAAAAGTCAGGATTTTCTTCTTTTGCTGTGATTAGTCCACTGCTGCACCCAAAAAGAGATCACACACTGAGTGTTCATTAAATCTCAGGTCCACTCATTAAAATCGACTGTGAGGTACTTGTTGCCACTTCACAGATGTACAAGTTAAACAATTGCTCAGGGTTGCTCTACTATTAGCAAGCAAAGACAGAACAGAGGCAAACAATACAAGATCAAGCTCTATCTTTATTCTGAGACTCCAAACCTTCCCATGCCTTTAGTACTTGGATTTGTGCCTTGTTTCTTTATTATTTTCAACAGTAGTTATCACAAGCATTTTCACAACAAAACAAGGTAAATATTAAAGGGGAATAAAATGTGTGCAGAAAGAGATTTTATAGCAGACTAAATATTTAAAAATAACTGTTCAATAAGTAACACAAAACAGAAATAAAATAGTATGTCAAAATAAATAATGAAATCTTATTAGATTATTAAGATATCTAGTAAGACAAAGTATTGATTCTTTTGGTGGGAAGATATGGTTATGCATGTTATCAAAACAAGAGTCTCACACAACTCATGACACTTTTCCTGTCTCAGCCTTCAAAGTGCTAAGATTACAGGTGTGATCTATCATGCCTAGCTTTAACTTTTAATAATCAGCAGAATGAATTAAAAAATTAAAGCTAGAGCAGGCCGGTCACACAATACAATCTTCTCTTTTCACCAGTCAGAAAGCCTGAGACCAATAGCACAGCTTGTTAATAACACCACGTAAAAGGAAAAAAAAATCTTGTCTCTTTACTTCTTACATGGTAAACTTTTCATTAAAACCATCACAGAATTACTAGATATTTTTCAAACAAAAATATGTAAGGGATCAGAGACAATAAAGACATCAATGGAGGGCAAGATAGTTCTGTAATTTCAGTACAAAAACTACAAGCTTAAATAGTTTTGTGGTTTACATGCAGTCACATGTATTTAGAATACACATGGCAGGAAACTCCTTCAAAAACTATCATCCTTGACTATTCAGACACAACAATTTTATGTCTTGTTCAGAATAGAAAAAACTATTTCTACTAATGTACATGTTCAAATTCATACTTAACAACTGAAGTTTTGTTATATTTTAAATATTTCTTCAAAAAAAAAAGCAAATAATGTATCTGTGCTACCAGCTTGTAGACTTGGAAAGCATCATTGTTCTAAATACAAACGGGACTAGAGGATGGCTCAGTTAACAGCACTTGTTGACCTTGCAGATGACCCACATTCAGGCTCCAGAAGCAACGCGCAGTCCACAGCTGCCTGTAACTCCAGATCCTGGGGTTCATATATGAGTTACATATATGGGCACTAAGCATGCATGTGGTGTGGAGAGAGATGCAGGTAAAACATGAGTACATATAAAACTAAAAATAAACCTTAAATGAGAACAGCTAATGACACCAGGAGTATGTACCCGATTTCAAACTGAATTATTTGTTTAAAGTTTAAAATATTTCTCAAACAGAAGTGAATTGAGGAAGAAAAAGTATTTTTATTAAAAAGTTTAAGGTTTAGGCGTAACACTCGGGAGGCTGGGAAAGGATCACAGTAGGTACCAGCCCAACTGGGGCTCCAGAGTGAAACACTATCTCAAACAACAACTAAAGATGTGATGCTGTCAGAGCTGTATGAGCACATATGACCAATGAATGGCACAAGGCAGTCAAGGAGAATTAAGGCTTTTTGCAAATACATGGCCTCGGGATTCAATGCTCCAACTAACTCAGAAGAAACTATAGGTAAGGAAAATAAGTATTTTCTGCAACCCCTTTTAAGGGAAAGACTAGCTTTTCTTTTATCTTGCAGTTGAAAAGTGAAGTGCAACATGCAGAAGACCCCTAGAGATGCTATAAAGGAAACTGGTACGAATTACCACCATAACTACCTTGCTCAGTAACAATAAAGTGGCCACTGATTCCCTATAAATGTGTGTGGGAAGGTGGGGGGGGGGGGGGAGATCCATACAACAAAGTGGGAAAGAAAACCACTAGACGGGCAGACACACACACACACGCCTAAAACCAGGTATGCCTTGTTAAATTATCACTACTGAACTGCCCGACAAAGAGCTGAGGAGAACCATTACAGCACAGTCCACCTGAGGACAGGGTATAACATGCTTAGAGCCTAACAAGCAAAATTCCCTGTAACAAAACCCTGTAACTAATTCCAAGTGAAGCTTGGGAGGTTTTTTGTTTTGTTTTGAGACAGAATTTCTATGTAGCTTTGGAATCTGTCCAAGAACTCGCTCTGTAAACCAGGCTGTCCTCGAAATCACAGAGATCCGCCTACCACTATCTCCCTAGGGCTGGATTTAAAGGTGTGTGTCACCACCGCCAGGCAAAGGAGTCTCTTGATGACAGACCCCGCAATAGTTAAGGATGCCATCATCTTACCTTCTAGAATTTACCTGCAGGGTCTGGGACATAGCTCAGTGGGTAAGTGAACTTGCTGTGAAATCAAGAGTAACTGAGTTCAAGTCCCCAGCACCCATGTAAAAGTCGGACACGGTTGTGTGTGCCTGTGATGTCAGTGCTGGGGTGTTGCTGCATCCTAACAGCTCCCTTGTGGGAAGGGGTGAGAACAATAGAGGACTCCTGATCTTCTCCTTTGGTGTGTGCCACCCTCACCACGTATGTATACGCTCCCACACAAAATAATTTGCACCTGTATACTTTGCTTGTCACTCCCATAAATGCTCTATTTAAAAGCAAATCCCCTCCACTTACACACTTGCTTTTGAAGAATATGGCCATTATATTAGTTTTCCTCTCTGTATTATATCAACTTTTTGTTTTCTAGTGAATCACTTAACAATATTCGGCTAAATCTAACTCAATGTTTTTTTTTTCTTCCTACTCATCTGCTTTCCACCACCAGATACTGCCCTAAATCTCTACTTTCCCCATCACCAAAGTCATCCACAATTTTTTATTTACTCTGGGTTCTCACAGACAGGAGACATCACAGCACTGATATAGTTGATGACTCTCATGGGCTTGGCGTTTCAACACTTGGTCCCCAGCTCGTGATATTATTTTGAGAAGTTTAGGAGGAAACATGTCACTGGAGGACAAGCTCTGAGAATTAATAATCTCTCTCTCTACCTCCAAGTTCTCTCCACTTCGGGTTTGTGGTTGAGAATGTGATCACTCACTCCATCTCCTGCTCCTGTCATAATGCCTGCTGCCAGGCTTCCCTGCCATGATAAGACTCTTACCCTCTGGGACTTAAGTCAAAACAAATTCTTCCACGAGTCACCTGTGATGGTGATGTTTTACCATCTACCAACAAGAAAATAGTAGTACAACTCCTCCTTAATTTGTATCTTCATCAGGCTTTCAGTATTAATTCATCACTGACGACTACTCAATTTCTCTTTGATAGTTCCTTATTTTCCCCTAAACTTACCATGTCCTAGAAATCCGCCCACTTCTCTTCTGTGTCAACACATAGTTGCACGTTGTTCACAGCCAGCTTTAAGACTTTGACACCTAAATGCCAAATGGCCCCCAAGTTTACAGCAGACAATTTTCTTAATTCCAGCTTGCAATCCCAACTGTATACTTGACCTTGACTCTTACATCAAACTAAATTACTCACTCTGCCCCCAAAATGTTCCAACAAACCCAGGTGTGGAGTCTTCTAGGAGGGCTATGGCAGAAGGGCTGCTTGAGCGATTGCTCAGTTTAGGGGCAGATGGAACAACATAGAGAGTGCCTGTCCTAAAAATAAAACACAAGTGCTGGGTATAGCTCAGTGCTAAAGCTTTTCCCTACCAAGCACAAGAACCTACAGTTTGATCCTCTGATACAAACAAAGAAAACTTTTCTGCTTTAGATAGGACTAAAAGCAGGCCTATCGCCACCATCCATTCCCTCAGTTCCTCAGCCCTACAATCTTAAAATCAAGTTCTTTCCTTTTCTTTAAAAGATTATTTATTTGTGTGTATGTAGAGGAATACGATATTACAGAGGCCAGAAGAGTGTGTCAGATGCCCTGCAGCTAGAAGTACAGGTAGTTATCAGCTGCCTGGCATGGGTGCTAGGAGCTGAATTCTAATTCTCTGGAAGAACAGCATGTATTTTTGATTGGAGAGCCATCTCGTTAGCTCCTAAATCCTGTCTTGGACTCTGCCTGACCACTTTCCTCCTTGCTGTCTGAAATCCTCTTGCCCTACACACCCACTGACTTACTCTGTGAAAAGTCTCTGCTCAAGCCCCACTCGGAGAAAAGTGGGCAGTTTCTATGACTCTGTCTGGCCTTTAGCATGTCCTATGTCTCTCCAAAGTACATAAATTCCTTTAAAATGTCACAATTCACTATTTTGCATGTGCTTACTTTCTAATTTGGCTGTCATAAGACACCAAACGCACAGCAGGTTTCCAATATTCCTAGATGAATGAACAGTTACAATTGTATGATGTGGGAGTGTCATATATCAATCTGTTGATTTCATTGGTTAAGTTATAATAAACCAACTGCTTGGCCTCAGCTTGGAACATAGATGGGAGGAGTAAACAGAATAGAATTCTGGGCGGAAGAGGAAGTGAGGTCAGACTCTGCTCTGCTCCCAGAGAGACCCGACAGCTCTGCTGGAGCAGAGACGCCATGCTCAGCTCTCCTGGGTAGACGCGATAGCTCTGCTCTCTGAGGCACACGCGATGAAGATGGATGTAGGCTAGAATCTTCCCGGTAAGCGCACCTTGGGGTGCTTACAAACATCATTAGAAATGGGCTAGTCCAGGTGCGAGAATTAGCCTGTAAGGGTTAGAGTTCATGGGCCAAGCAGTTCTTTAAATGAATACAGTTTGTGTGTTGTTATTTCGGGCGTGAGCTAGCCAAGCGGCTGGGGTGTTGGGGACGCAGCCCCGCCGCTTCCTATTTCAACAATTGTACAACCCTCCGCTGACATCTTCAAACATAACATTTTAAATGAATGCACAGTAACAAGAGTGTTTTAGGGCTAGGGGTATACCCCAGTGTAAACGAGTGCTTCTTACAAAGAAGGCCACAGGCCTAATCCACAAACAATCAGAAGAATATTTTGGATAATTTTATGTCATACAACAGGATGCCATGCAATTTAGAGCTTAACTTCTTTCTGATGCTCCAGGGTGAGCAGAGAAGGACCCTCTATTTGATGCATAACACATATACTTATAAGCGAGACTGCTCTACATGTCTACTTCTAGTTTCTTGTATTTCTTTTAAATAAAATAAAAAACATCTTTCAAGAAATTATGTCTTACCGGTAAGTCGGTGAAAGCAATACCTATAAAGAAAAAAGAAAGGTATTAGTGGCTTTTTTTCAAAGGCAAGTAATATCAAAAAGCTAAGTATCTAACTAAAACAAAGACAGAGAATAGCAAAGGAAGAAAAGATGAAAGAAAAGCCTAATTTTTCTCACTAACACTAATGTCTATCTGAGTGAATGCTATTCTATTATGGATCATCAGTCTTATTGAGCACATGCGCGCGTGCGCGCGCACGCGCGCGCACACACACACACACACACACAATTTTGGGGATATTGGCATTAACCCCAGAGCTTTAGAATGATCTTAGACAGACAAACCTTCAGAGTTACAAGAGTAAGAACACTGGTTGCAACAGTGTCAGATTTGATTGTTTGGCCTGCAAGCTGTATTATCTACCTCAACACTTAATTCTTGTCTAGATTTAGCTTTTACAAAATTTTAGGTTGGAGCTCAGCATTATAGTACATGTCTGTAATTCCAGCACTCAGGAGGCAGAGGCAGGCGGATCTCTGGTCTACAGAGCTAGTTCCAGGACAGGCTCCAAAACCGCAGAGCGAGAGAGCGAGAGAGCGAGAGAGCGAGAGCGAGAGAGAGAGCGAGAGAGAGAGCGCGAGAGAGAGCGCGCGCGCGCGCGCGCGCGAGAGAGAGAGAGAGAGAGAGAGAGAGAGAGAGAGAGAGAGAGAGAGAGAGAGAGACTCTGTCTCCAAAAACCAAATAAATAAAAAGCACTTTAGGCAAAAGGAGCAGACATTTTCTCTGTTTTTTTTTTTTGTAAAGGTAAACAAAAGCAAGTATAATACTCATGTTTAAAACAAAACACGGTTTCTTGCCAGAACATAATAGTAATGGATGCCTGTTATCCCAGCATTCAGGAAACTGAAGTACAAGGACCTTTAATGAGGCCAGTTTGGGCTACATGCTGAGACCGTATCTCAAAAACAGAACAAAAGAACCATTTCTTCTTGAAGGATGAAGAGTGCTCCTGGATGTATCAACAGAAATTTCAACACAGCCATGTACCAAATACAGCTGAAATACTGGTAATGGCATAAGTCTACCAGCATTCTTAACTACAAAGAACACAACAGAGGAGACGAGGCTTTCTGCAGTACCTCACTGGCCTCAAGGGTCACAGCAATGTCTACTCACGCACTGGAAGCACAACCTCCCCCCAGCACCAGCATCTCTCCTGCTGTGAAAAGTATCTAAAGCGTAAGAGTATCTAGTGCTGTGCTGTATCAACAGCAAATCACCCAACCATAAACTGATTCTACTTATTAAAATAATAAAATTAAAAGACAGTGAATATAGATATCACAGTCTGAACAACTCTAAACTGAAACTAATGAAACCATTAGTGACAAATTCTACCTCAACACACGTGACAGGTCATATTCAAAATGTAGGCATACTAAAAGTAGGTCATAAAATTACTTTCGGGGTGTACGTGTAAGGCATATACGAAACCTGAATGAATTTCCTGTTTACACTTGAGTTCCATCTCAAAGATATCTCATTTTATATATGTATATATTACACAAACACATACAAATATCCTACAATCCAAAATCTGAAATGTTTCTGGCCCTAAGCATTTCAGATAAAAGATATCTAGCATCTATTTAACAATATATTAATTATATACTTTAATGTAAAAATAATGCTTTGTGGTCAATAAATCTCTGCTTCTGTAACTTTTACCAATAAGTAAACGGTGTTCATCTGTCAAAAAGAAAGCAAAGCTGGGAGGTATTTTGTTTTTGTAATTCTATACAAAATATTTTGACTATATTTAGGTTAATTTATAGTGGTTAGGAGCTAAATATAAAAATTTATGGGCTGGAGAGATGGCTCAGCGGTTAAGAGCATTGCCTGCTCTTCCAAAGGTCTTGAGTTCAATCCCCAGCAACCACATGGTGGCTCACAACCATATGAAATGAGATCTGATACCCTCTTCTGGCCTACAGGCACACAGACAGAATATTATATACATAATAAATAAATAAATAAATAAATAAATAAATAAATAAATATTTTTTTAATTTATACCAAAATTATCAAAAAATTAAACAATACGAAAAAAGAAAACATTTTAGCAAAACATGACTATCTCATTTTTAATATTTTTATAATATAGCCTAATTATTTTTCTCAAAGATGTGTATTTATAATAAATCTGTCCAAATTTACATTTTTTACCAAAAAATCTTGTCAATAATTGCTAAAGTTTTTGTTTCTTATCAGGAATGCTAATAAAAAATACAAATTAGTTCCAGATTCAAGTTCAGACATTTGCCAAGTAAGCATCCACAGCATGTGTGGTTCAGACCACAAAAAGGTGCCTATAAAGAAGCTGGTACAACTATTTAAACTTTATTTTTCACTTTCCTGACTTGTCAAGAAGCTTTCTGAAGTGTTATCTTCAGCTAACAAATGATGCTTGATAAGAAAATACATTAAATTTTTTCAAGTTAGTTAAGTTCTATATTTAAACGTCTCTTATTTTTCAAAATAAAAAGTTCTCCATTTCTCTTTGTATAATACATTTTGAAAACTAATCCACTAGCTTTACTGTAGAAGTCCCCTCTGCAGATGCCCTTGGTAAGATTCGGGGTCAGGAGCTGAGAAGTATTTGATCTTCTAGACTCTAGTCCAGACCAAAATCACGAGGCCCTTTCCTGAGAGCGGTCAACTAGTTAGTAAATGCTTTCTGCTTTTCACCACTCTCCAACTCTGCTACTACAGCCATGGGGAACATGTAAATGAACAGGTGGAGCTGTGTTCAAGAGCAGCTTTGGCTGTCAATTCTAGAGAGGTTCTATTCACAGGAATAACTTGTTTACCAGTGTCACCTCTGCAGCCCTGGCACCCCAGCCAAACAGAGGTGTTCAGCAACTATAACTTTTCAGATATCATTTCAGTTTTCCCTGAAGAACTTACTGTGGTTCTAAACACTGATGTGTTATGGGTAATGGTTTTTTATGAGCTAGAAATGTTCAGCAAGTTGCCTGAGGTCACACAGCAAAGAAGCCAAGAGTCAAAAACAGTAGAGACTGACTGAAAGGACCTGATTAACCATTATTACACTACCTATATGCTCAAAATTTATTAGATTTATGCACACCATCAAACATTTCAAATTTACAGAAAATTAGACTGTAATTCCATCATTAGGTACCCTTTTCTTAAGCATCTTACCTTTTAAAATGGCTTTCTTATTCAATGAAAAGGTTTGATTTAAATGTTTGTGAAAATCTAATAGGAAAAAAAAATCACATCACCTGTGATCTTCCCATCTCCCAAAATAAAATTTCTTCTCTGAAAAGTTTAAAAAATTAGTGTTAAAAAGGCTAATTGTGGTTTTCTAAAAATGTCTTGTTTTGCATTTTTGAGTTGTCAAATCTAAAAGCAGACTTCCCTTAAGTTTAAGATCTTAAACAGTTTAAGCAGTAAGAACAAGACTAATATTATCATATAATCTGCATGGGGTCATTAACATGATACATGGATGAGAATATAAGACTTTTTTTGATAGACCTGTAACAACTTTTAAGTCATATTTAAAAAAAAAAAAAAAAAAGAGGCGCTTCAGAATTTAAAAAAAAATTTCTAAGTGAAAATCTGAGGCTGGAGAGAAATGCAAAGCCTTTGCCCATGGGTTGTGCTGGGGAACTACAGAAAACTGCTGCAGTACAAACTGAGGTTCAGAATTCTCTTCTATGTAATAGAACACAAATGTCTGTCATTTAAGAAATTCCATTATAGATAAGACGGCGCCTTTCAAACTTTCAAACTACTATCCACAAGTAAAGCTATTTATGCCCTCTAAGGTTATTTAGTTTTTGCTTCTCTTCACTTGAGCCCATTAGAAATAATTTGCTATGAGCATATTAAATTTTCCAATGGTAAAAATGTAAGGTTTTAAAAGTGTTAGTCTTACTAGCTTTCCTATTTCTTGCAATTTAAACAGAAATGAAGGCTAGAGAGATGGCTCAGCAGTTAAGAACTCTTCCTGCTTTTCCAGAAGATCCAAGTTCGGATCCCAGCACCCACACTGGGCAGCTCAACACCACTAGTCCCTCTAGCTTCAGGAGATCCCATACCTTCATCCGGCCTCCTCCAGCACCCACACATACATGGCATCCATTCACACAAACATGTCCATGTGCACCCATAAATAAAATAAAAATACATTTTTAAAGGAAAAAAACTAATAACTACACACAATGCTAATGAGCATACCTAATTCAGCTAAAGTCTTTAATTTCCTATTATCTTGCAATGTTCCTTTGTTCCATTAACACACTTTAGCCCGTGTCTTTTGTTTCTGTTATATATTTAGTTGTCCTGTGCCACAAACTCAGACACCATCCTTCAGCAGTCACCATTAGCATATCTATCTAATTTAACTATGTTCATTCTGATCTTTTGCTAGAAATACTGAGTTGTTTGCCCACATTATTCTTAGAACTGATATTATTGTACTAGAGAATTGGATAACCAGTAAAGAATTTTTTCAAACCAAAGTTGGAATCTCTGTAACTAGAATCAATGGCTCAACACTAAGCAGCACTTCTATTGTTACGTCTGTACATAAGATAAGTTGTTAGCATTCACAGGATATGAATTTTTATCACTTCCTTAATATCCATATAAACAGAATAAAAAGGCATCTGTTCATCAAACAGAACCACATAATAAATATAACCATCAAGCACTAGTAAAATAATCACAATATTTGGTCATTTTGCATGCAATACAACATCTCAGTACCTAAACTATGTCCATTCTTCGTGTAAAAGCAGGTATTGTTGATAAGATTAACACAACAGCCAATGACATCACCAGTTGTAAAAGTTGGTCCATACGGTTGTCCAGTTCCAGAAGAACAAAACGAATGTCCATCATCCCCATGGTAACCATATGAATGTTTATCCCAACCTAGAGAGACAGGTTCAGTATATTTACAATGAACAACAAAGTTCCTCAGCTGTCATTTATTCACTAATGTTTTAAGATTGTGCCAGAATAGCACAACACATAATATAAACCTCCAAATGTACACCTACATTCTCAAGAACTATGTTATAAAGAGATTTCAGCATTAAAATGTTGTCTAAAGCATTAAGGAAAATAAACTCACCACCCAGAACACTAAAAAGAAGTACTGAAGAGAAAGGATTCCTACCAGGAACATGAACATAAACACAGCAGTCACAGTGGGAGCATTTATTCCATCAATTACTTCTTTAGCTAATATAGCAAAGGAATTTTGCTCTAATATAAATAACACACATAAACTTTAATGTAAAATAGATTATTAATTCTTTAAAAAAATTTATTGATTGATTATGTATACAATATTCTGTCTGTGTGTATGCCTGCAGGTCAGAAGAGGGCACCAGACCTCATTATAGATGGTTGTGACCCACCATGTGGTTGCCAGGAATTGAACTCAGGACCTTTAGAAGAGAAGGCAATGTTCTTAACCACTGAGCCATCTGTCCAGCCCTAGATTATAATTTTCATTTACCACAAATTTCTCAAGGCTGTGATCCATATGTAAAAGTCATGTAATCTTTGATCTCTTTACACACATTCTTACAATTAAGACCCTCTTAACTTTTAGCAGAAACACACAGGGAAAGCACATCAAGTTACATAAGAATATAATTAGATGGCAGCAGTACTAGCTTGATATGTTCGTGTCTCAGTGTAGTTCCTGTAGTTTTGTATAGGTCAGTTTGTATTTTACATTAAAAAATTTCCTCTACTGACTTTTTTTTTATTTATTATTTATACAGTTAGCCAGAGACCTCATTACAGATGGTTGTGGGCCACCATGTGGTTGCTGGGAATTGAACTCAAGACCTTTGGAAGAGCAGGCAATGCTCTTAACCGCTGAGCCATTTCTCCAGCCCTACTACTGACTTTTAACATCAGGAGACAGAATCAGTTCCTTCTGTCTGCACACTCCTGAACTCACTTCTGTCATTTATCTATACTCTTACAAGGTCACACAACGCACCTTAAAGATTAAAGGTCAGGATGTGACTGGTGACAACAGAACCAGTCAAATTAAAATGTTTCAAGTGGTTGATACAAGTATATAAAGTTAAAAAGGACAAAACAATAACAGAAAAACAAAGCATAGATATTATGCTATGTATGTTCTACAAAAGAACATGAAACTTAAATACATTTAAACTCCACTCAACTTCCACTTAGAATTCATAAGTGATTAATTTAAAAAGAAAAACCTCAGTATCGTTTAAAAATTTTAACCAGAAATGTCAGTCCTAAGGCTCTAACAATACTGTAATTCACTTGCAAGTGTACCTGGTAGTCTATTCATGTTCACACCTTGAGCAGAAAGACCAATTCCCATGTAGCTGTTGGAGAGCAAAGGAAAGGCAGGTTATTACAGTCGGATATACACAAATCACTAAACACTCTAAAACATAGTCAGAACCAAGCCCAAACTGAAGCTCCTAAGTAAGGTAGTCACGGAAATGTTATTACAGTGTATTCCATAGCAATAAAGAGCACTATTAACCAGCAAAAAAAACCTAGATCCCCAGCAAACTACAGTAATCACTCATAAGCACATTAAAAATATTAGTAAGGGATTAAAGGCGCACTCGGGAGGCAGAGGCAGGCGGATCTCTGGGAGTTCTGGTCTACAAGAACTAGTTCCGGGACAGGCACCAAAGCTACAGAGAAACCCTGTCTATATATATATATATATATGTAAGGGCTGGAGAGATGGCTCAGTAGGTGAGATGACACCCAGAGCCAAGCCTGATAACCTGAGTTCAGACTTCAGGATCCAGAGATTGCCTTTCAGAAGTTGTCCTCTGACGTCCATATACACAAAGTGCCAATACTACATTCTAAGTGCCAATAAGAAGAAATCTGAGAGATCAAATAACTTCATAATATACCTTAGGGCTTTGGAAAAACAAGAACAAGAAAAACCTACCATCAGTAAGTGGAAAGAAATAAGATCAGAGCCGAAATTGATGAATTAGGAATTAATGATAATACACATCACTAATGCCAAGTTACTTCTTTGAAAAGATTAAGATTTGTTAACCCTTGGCCAAGCTAACCAAAAGAAAAAAAGGCTCAGTTTTAAAAATGAGAAATGAAAGGAAGCCTTTACAACATATTCCGATGTAATTCAAAAGGTAACAATGACAAACCTTTTAAAAATATTATGCAGTCTACTAAATTGGAAAATCTAAAAGAAAATGAATAATTTCTTCTAAACAGGTATGACCTACCAAAATAAAACCAAAAGATGAATATTTCAAACAGATTTATAAGAAGTAGTGAGATAGAAACAGCAATTAAAAAAACAAAACAAACAAACAAAAATCCGTTAGTGAGATGTCTCACCAGGTAAAGGTGCTGGGACCCCCATAAAGGAACAAAAAGCTAACCTCCCATAAACTATTCTGACCATCACACACCACCATTATAAATAAACATAACAATTGCTTAGCTTTAAAAAAAAAGTTAACTAATCAAAGTCTAAATTCAAAGAGATTGACAGATGAATTCTACAGAAACTTCAAAAACAAATGTTTCCCAAACTCTTACATAAAATAAGGACAGAACAGTATCAACTTATTATCAGCCAGTATAAATTCTGACAGCAGTAACAGATAAAGACATTAAAAAACAAAACTATAGGCCAATGTAGTGATATTTCATTTGTAGTTTAATAAATAAAACTTGCCGGAAGTTCAGAGTGAAACAGCCACACTGATCATCCTTACAAACCAGGCAGTGGTGACACACACCTTTAATCCCAGTAGTCACATTAGTTTGCCAGAGAAACGGGCAGTAGTGGTGCACACCTTTAATCCCAGCCCTAGAGAAAAATATAAAATGGGAGGAGACAGCTCTGACACACAGTCTCATTCTGAGATTCTTGGAGGCTGGATAGCCATTTCAGATTGAGGTAGAGGTAAGAGCCAGTAGCTGGCTGTTTTGCTTTCCCGACCTTTTCTGTCTGGAGACGCCAATTTCTGTCTCTGGGTTTTTATTAATCGTGCTACAGGCCAATCTCTCTGATAGACATACGTGGTGGTTTGAAGAATGACCCCAATAGGCTCATATACTTGAATGCTTAAGTCACCAAGGAGTGAAACTCTTTCAAAGGATTAGAAGGATTCGGAAGTAAGGCCTTGTTGGCAGAAGTTTGTCACTGGGGTGATGGAGGAAGGTCATTGGTTAAATAAACTGCCTTGGCCCTGATAGGTAAGAACATAGGTAGGTGGAGTAAACAGAACAAAATGCTGGGAGGCAGAAGAAGTGAGGTCAGAATCATGCAGTTCCTCTCAGAGCCAGACATGATGGAGCAAGCCACCAGGTCAGACATGCTGAATCTTTCCCGGTAAGACCGGTGTTATGTAGATAATTAGAAATGGGTTAGGCAAAATATGAGAATTAGCCCGTAAGAGGCTAGAGCTAGTAGGCCAAGCAATGTTTAAAATTAAACAGTGTCCGTGTAATTATTTCAGGGCATAAGCCACCAGGCGGCCGGGGTGCTGGGGACAAAGCCCCGCCGCTCATATTACAACACTGGGGGTGGGTTTTGAGATTTCAAAAGTCTATGCCAGGTCCAGTCTACTCTGCTGACCTGCCTGCGGATCAGGATGTAAAACTCTTAGCTACTTCTCCAGCACCACATGTGCAACCATACTCCTTGCCATGATGATAACGGACCAACTTATGAAACTAAGCAAAGGCTTTCTAAAGGGTTGCCTTCGTCTTGGCGTCTTCACAGTAACAGAACAGTAACTAATAAACAAAGATACAAAAATAAGGGGGGTGGAGGAAGAAGAGGGGAAGGAAAGGGGGAAAAAACCACTCAGGAAAATATTTACAAACTGAATTTGAGAAAACATCAAGGAGATTATCATGATCAAGTTGGCTTAATTCCAGAGACACAGGGATGGCTAGTTATAATAAACATTACAAATTATATAAATGGACAAGGACAGAAATCCACATGATCATCCCAAAAAAGGGAGAAAAGGCTTCTGAAGGTACTGTTTCATGATAAAAGTCTTGAAGAAACTCAGAGTATAAAGAATTTAACACAACACAGTAAATACTATATATAATAAACCTATAGACAACATTATACTAAATGGTGTAAAAGACTCAAAAAGCATTTCCACTAAAACCAAGAGTAAGACAAAGCTATCTTCTCCTCAACTCACTCTTATTCAATATGGTACTGGAAGTCTTAGCAAGAGAGTAAGACAAAAATTAAACATAATGGACACAAATAGGGAAGAAGTCAATCTATCTTTACTTGCAAAGTATAATTTATATATGAATATGAAAGAAAGACCCCAAAGACTCCACCAGAAGACTTAGAACTGATAAGCTCTGAAAAGTGGCAAGATACAAAATTAACATACAAAACCAAGTAGCCTTCCTATATTAAGAAAGCTATCAGGGAAATAATCCTATTCATAGCCAAGGTGAATATATACACACATACATATATACCTTGAAAAAAAAATAAAAACAACTAACCAATGATGGGGGATGCCGCTCTGTATGCTGTGAATATGTTTTATTACCACGGGTTAATAAGGAAGCTGCTTTGACCTTTGACAGGACAGAATATGGCTAGGCAGGAAATACAAAGAAAAATACAGGGAAAAAGAAGGCAGTGTTTGGGAGACAAGAGCAGTTGCCAAAGAAGCAAGATGTGAGGTAATACGAGGTCACGTGGTGATATACAGATTATTAGAAATGGGTTAATTTATATGTAAAGCTAGTTAGTAAGAAGCCTAAGCCATCAGCCAAACAGTTTGTAATTAATATCAGCCTCAGAGTGGTTATTGGGGGAACTGGCAGGTGAGAGAGAAACCTCCAGTTACAAACCAAAGTAAAGTGTTCTACATTAGTTTCATTTATGCATTTATTTTTATGTATCTTTGTGTGTGTAGGTAGAGGTTAAAAGACAACATGTAGGAGTTAGTTCTCTCCTTCTGCCATGTGGATCTTTGGTCATGAACTCAGGTATTCAGAATTGTCAGCAAGCAACCCAGGAAACTTTAAAACATTCAACACTGGGGGACTGGAGAGATGATGGCTCAGTAGTTAAGAGCACTGACTGTTCTTCCAGATGTCCTGATTTCAATTCCCAGCGACCACGTGGTGGCTCAAACCATCTGTAATGAGATCTGATGCCCTCTTCTGGCCTGTAGGTATACATGTAGACAGAACATTGTATACATAATAAATAAAATCTTTTAAAGAACAAAAACTATTTAAAACTGAAGACAGGAGAAGACAGAATGACCTTCCATACTCATGGATTGAAATAATTCTGTAAAATGACTCTCCTAACTAAAAGTAACCTAGAGATTCAATGTAAACTCCATCAAAATTCCAATGCCACTCTTCATAAAAACTGAAACATCCATCTTAAATGTGAAATTTAAAAGAATTTCACACAGGGGCTGGAGATGGCTAACCAGTTAAGAGTATGGCAGCTCACAACTGTCTTTAACTCCAGTTCTAGGGGACCTATACCCTCTTTTGGCCTCCATGGGCACCAGAAAAGCATGCGGTGCAGGCAAAATGCTGACAAAACATTAAAAAAAAAATCTCACTCAGCATGATGCTTATTTTCAACTTGACTGGATCCTAACTGTGGATGCAATTTCACCAGCCACCTCAAACTCCTACTGCCATGGCTTCACTAGGCAAGGGCTATAACCCTCAATTGTGAACCAAAACAAATTATCCCTTCCTTAAGTTGCTTTTGCCAGGTATTTTGTCCTAGCAAAGTGTAAGGTAATTAAGACAGACCTTCAAAACAATCCTGAGCAAAAATAATGTTGGATCACTATACATAATTTGAAGTTGCATTACAGAGCCTTAGTAAGGCAAGGGGATGGCACTAACCAAACAACAACACATCGACCAATGCAATAGATGGGAGATCCGGATACAATTCATGGAGCTACAGCCACCGGTTTTTGTTTTTTTGTCTTTTTACAAAGATGCCAAAAAAATACCCAAGGCAAAAAAGACAGCCTCTTTAACAAATAGCATTTAGTAAAATTGAATGTCTACATGAAGAGTGAAACTAAATATTTGTTCTCACGACATACAAAATTCAACCTCAACTATATCAAATATATAAAACGTTATATATTATAACGTAAGACTTGAAACTCTGAACTGCTTGAGGAGAAAGTAAATAAAACATTTCAAGATACTGGCTTAGGCAAGGCCTTGCTCCAGACACTCAGGAACTAATACCAGCAAAGACAAATGGAACCTTTAGAAAATTAAAAAAAAAAAAAAAAAGTTTCCATACAGCAAAGAAAACAGTTAATCAAGCAATCTACAT